AAAGAGTCGGGATAGTTAGAAGCATGAGAACCTAAGTTCAATCCTCATTGCGTTCATCTTTATAATGTTTCCTATTTTTACAAAAAAAAAATCAAACTGATCTAATATAGAATACCAAGCTAAAAGGAGGCACATTCTTTTATCACCCATTTTTCTAAGCACACTACCCTTCATTTTTTTATATCAATTTTATTTCAACAATATTTCTAAAAGTTGTGAGAAATAATTTTCTTAATGAATTAAAATTTAAAAGTTTGTAAAATTGTATAGCTTTTAGAATTTAATTTTCAAAATATGGAATATAATCACATACTAAAAGGATTCTTTCAATTAAAATTTTCACTTAAACTATCTCAAGTGAAAATTCCCACTACTAAAAACCGATGTTCCTTGTTTTTATTTCATTGTTATTTAACTTCTCTTTCTTTTATTTTAAATTAACGACTAAGATTTCACCGACATAAATGTTACATGAGAAAATTTAAATCCAGCTATAACATTGTTAAAATAAAAATTGACTAAAACGACGTCGAAGAATGTTCTTATTAAAACAAAAACAAAAGAGAAACTTAAAAGGATATGCTTTCTCTTGAGTTGCTATATAGTCCAACAATTTGAAAGCTTTTTGACAAATGAGAATAAAATCTCCAACTGATCAGGTCTTTCTCATGTATATTCTAAATTAAAATAATTTTTACACTATTTAACTTTTACTGGATAATTTTATCTTAAAATCTATAATTAGATTGGAGATTTTTATCTTATAAATTATATCTACAAAATCTTAAATTTATCTAGGATTATTCAATAACGAAGTATATACTTTTAAAACATATAAAAATAAGAACTCAATAATTATAATTTTTATAATAATTTAAAATTTAGATAAAAAATTCTTCATGGAGAAAAGAATGGTGCACGAATTTGTATAAATTATAGCAGTGTAATTTAAAGTAATTTGATCCCCTTATTTTGATATTCCTGTAAAACTAATACCAAAAAGCATTCGGGATTTTAGGAAGCAAAATCACCATCTTAATTCGGGAGCAATTTATATTAACTTATCAAGATAAACTTGACATGAGTAAACCAAAAAGTACAATGCTCAAATTTATTTATAAACCGAAATTCGCCAACCTCTGATACAATAGTTCAAGAATTTTATCTGTACAAAAAAGAGACAATTCACTTTTCCATAATAATAATAATAATAAAAAGAAAGAAAGATAGAGCCACAAAATTCTTCATTTCTACATTTCAAAATAAACCATACAGTTAATTAGTATCAGCAGTCCTGTGGCCATAAAAAGCCAGCTTTAAGCTACACCATTGACAAATGATATGACTGAAGAGGAGTCATAGCAACACTCTCTAATACTCATTTATTCATGCTCTATTATTTGTTGAAATTTTTTAGAAGTTACAAATTTTGTAAGTCTCGTATCTCATTTAATGAGTTTGTCTCTTGATTTAGTAACAAAATCTATCAAAATTTGTCATTTTTAACAAATAGTAGAGAGAGTATTAGTAAAAGTTTATTAGAGGGAGTCTCGCTAATATTTCTCATGATCAAAATAGTGTATATACCTGAAGAACAACATCACCTAATTAACAAGTTAATTTTGTAAGATTAAGTTAGATTCAAATCTAGATTACAAAACAAATGAATGACCTACTTGACGGCACATGAATGGCTACATACCGACTCAAGAGCCTCGGTGAACAATGAAGAAAAACTGGTCAAAGCATGGAACACTCCAGGCAAGCCTGTCTGTAGATTGTTGAGTGTCATGGCTCTAGTCACCTCAACAGCCTTTGAATGCCTCACCATTTCATCTTCAACGCGCCTTTGGCAAGCTGCTAGTTCCACTTTTTTCTCAGCAAGAGGGTCTCTTGCATCCAAGCCTTGTCCATTATTATAAGACTCATGATGAGGAGGAGTAATATCTACCATAGAATATGAGTTATAGAACTTCCTTTCTATGCTTCTTATAGATGAAGTTCTTTTCTCAAGTTCCTTGGAAGCAGTCTCGGTTCTCTTCTTAATCTTGAGCTCTTCAGATTGCTTCACGGATATCACATGGACAACATTGATGAAGCTTTTGATTGCCTCAGAAGCAACCGTGTCCGGAACACGGTCAAGAGCAAGTTTCCATTCATCACAGAAAGAGAACACATCAGATGGTTCACTTTTGTTGTTGTTGTTTTCATTGTTGACTGGAATAAGGTTCAACTTGAGCCATCCATGTAGAGACAGGATGAAGTCACGTTGGAATTTTATGAGGCGGCAGAAACTGGAGTGCCATGCTGACACAGCTGACTCAAGATCCCGAGTTGCCTGCTTGTGCAATTCAGATGTTGAGTGACCCTTGCATGATTGGTTCACAAGGCCACGAACTTGCTGCACAATGTTGCTTTGAATTTCATGGTACTGGTGCATTGACCTCCACATGTGCATGATTCTGCATTTAGTATAATATCACAAAAATATAAGAGAACAGTCGATAACATCACATTTTGTAAGCTTGAATTAGGCCAAATCTACATTCTAAGAAGCAGAGCCAACCCCATCTTTAGAGTTGAAGTCTCTAAGAGTATCCATATCAGATATATATTGGTAAAGTATATGTGAGTTATCAAATACTTAAAAGATACGTGAAGTAAGTTGAAGTGTATGTTTCAATGATTTAGACCAAAATTATTTGGTAAAGAATTCCACTATATGTTTTACGACATTTAATTTTTTATGAAAGAAGACAACATTTTTAAATAAATAGATTAAGATGTTTTCTTTGCATTAAAACGCGTGTAGAGATGAGCAGGATCATTACAGGCACAAGTCACAACACTACGCAGCTTTATATCAATACCTAAACAACTTGGTTATCAAGTTTTTACTGAAATTTGTATTGCATTGCATGATCAATTGCAACCAAGATTCTTTACCAAGAATCATACTTCAAAATTTCCTCGCATCCTCCAATTTCATATATCAATGCAAAGTTGGCCCTAACTAATGATTTGGAAATAGTAATAACAAGGCAAATAATTATTGTTTGATGACTCTTTTTATAGCCCCTGCAACCAGTCAAATAGTTTATTAGCAGTTAACAATCATAAGGGTTTATTTTACCATAATACAATAATTATTTTAAGCTTTTAACATAGCAAAGCCCATCAGTATATTATATTTTCCAAAAACAGTTTTGGAGATCCTATATCGTTTATAATGGATGGCCAAAATTCACTCTCTTAAGAAACTGAGTCCTAAAATTTTAAAGAGTCACAAGATTTTGGCAGGTGCAATAGTGGGCCAACATGTGTTTACCAAGTGCTAGGCAGTAGTTGTTGGATTTGGACAGACAGTCTGGTACAAAGAAAGAGGCACATGATCTTATGCAGAGCTGATGAAGCGAGTAGCCATAATGCTTCAACTACCATACACTACATACATTAACTGTGATCCAAACTAGCATTGTTTCACATTAGATGAGTTCTGTATCCTACTCCTCACAATGAATAGTTGAATCAAGTGGTTCTCAATTTAATTTCTTTCAGAGGGGTTGTTATAGCAACACAGCGAGCTGCACATAATTTAAGGTGCCTTTGATCACGAAGTCTCGCTTAATTCACATTGTGACACATAATATGTAAGAAAACTCTCAAGTCTAAACGCATGTTTGGATACACGTTCCAAACAATTTGATCCGTGGCAGTTTAATTAGACGCATCACTTTGTAGCTTCCAAGTTTTTCATTGGTTTGGACGTGAAAATATTTAATATGTGGGATTTTAACGGTAAGCAAACACGCAATAAACTGACAAGAAAAAATCCTAATAACACTCTTTAGTATCGATTATAATTTATTAAAACAAAATTATGTAAATATCACTCTTAATTTAAATAAGTCTCCTTCATGATTTTGTAACTTCTAATATATACTACCTTGGTTTCTGATCATAATATCCAATTTAAAATAATTATTTATTCTGATCCAATTCTTATTATCTTCTATATTATTTTAGGTTAAAATATTCTTAATTAAAGTATATTTTTTATTTGATTAAATGCATTAATATAGACTTTTTTTTAAGAGCATACACTCTAATTAGTTTAAAAAATAGAGTATTAATTAGAAGAGATAAATAATGTAGGCCATCTACTCTAATTCGTTAAAATATATTATATATATGAATATTAATAAAAAAAAGAAGTAATATAAAGATAATTTTAAAAAAATATATAAATAAGATAAATTTATTGTTATCAATTAAATTAATTATTTTTTTTTAATATTGGTGAAATAGGTAATTAGATCTTATATATAGGAACCAAAATAATATATAACCAATAGTTGATTTTGTTCTACCATTACTATAATATTTAACATCTTTAATAACATTTGCCTATTTATATTTATTAAAATGTTACTATAAATTAAGTTAATAATATATTACAACATTTTTTTTTTCAAAAAGATGTTACTATAGATAGAGTAACAAATTTTTTAATCTCAATATTATTCTTGTTAATAGCTTCCCAAAATTAAGTTTCATACCAAGTAAAAAGAATGAAATATAAAAAATATACTTCCCCAATCTCTAATTATTTTCGAAAATTAAAATTTCACATAAAGAGTATATATAACTATTCTTGCCGAAAAGTAGATGTAAAAAGTCTTGAGTTGAAGGCCTTCTCAACTTCTTGGTTCTTAGCCTCTAGGTTAGGTGGTTTGTACTTCAAAAGAAATTTTAATGTCAAAGTTAGTAATTACTCTGAGTATTAAAGTGTATTGTGACACCTATGGGTCGAGGACTTCAACTAAAGTCTTCTTGCATCTACTTTTTTTGGCAAGAACAATAATTGTAAAATGAAACTTAAAATAGAGGAATTTTGATATGTGATATATATATATTTAGTAATAACTAACTTAAGATATATTTTCTTTTTTAAAAAATAAGATATCTTTAACTTTAAAAATTTATTAACAAAAGTCATAAAATATAAATGATAGTACAATCTATATTAATATTAATTATTATTTTATAAAGTTTACAAAAGTTTAACAATATTATAAAAATGTTACAAAATATTACTTTAATAACATTTTTAAAAATATTATTATAATATATAAAATGTTTTAAAAAAAATTTAATAACATAAGTTTTATCTTACATATGATAAAATGATATTTACTGAGAACAGTTTTCCTGATGTTTTTAGAAACACATCGTAGTGTACAGCTGCACCTCATTGACAAAAGACTCCTTATTTATTCTTTTCTCAAACACTTGAAAATTTTGGGGGCCCAATGAAGTTATTAAAGTTCATTCTCATTTATGGCAGTACAAAAGCCAATTCAATGTGCTCCCATACCCCTTAATTGCCTTGGTTGAATGTGGAACACCTTAGTTCCTAGTCCTTGTTGATCACTAATCTAAATTCCTTGTTAACCACTACTCTAAATTGAAAGTGTAATTAGTATTTTGAAAGGGAGGGAGTGTTTAACTGTGCTTTCATTCTTTGAGCATATAAAAATAGAAAAATAGTTTCAACATGAAGAGACACATACCTGTGACAGAGCTCAACAAGCTGAGGAACAAGTTCAGTGTCCCTAAGACCATTAATGGCATGTGAGGTGGTAGACACAGCCTGAGATGTGACAACAATTAATGACTGCAACCTTGTTATGGAAGCCTTGGTTTTATCTAGCTTTGCTTCATCACCCCCCTTGCACTCTTGACTCTGCAGGGCTGATAATTTCTTTTCATGCTCAATCTTCACACCTTCTCTAGCCTGAATATTATCCAAGGAAAAAAATTGTAGCATGCATCAGCACATGCAGCTCCAAACCTGCATGACTTTAGCTAAAAATAAATGCAACATAATTACCTGACTTCACTTTGGTAAAACGACAGCCTATGCTACACACACTACATTAATGAAAATTCCCAACATTCATAATCCATATTCTATACATTACATTTTCTATCCATTTTTTCACAGACAATTTTTATACTACTAAATCAGACAATCACACTCTTTATTATTAATTCAAGCTTACCAGAAATTATAATTTTTCACGAGTTTAATATTTTATTTAAGAGTTTTTCTTCATACTTATTTTAATAAATTTTAATCAATACTTTCACATATTTCTATCAACAGAATGAAATAATTCATCACAACTGAGTGTGAACGATGAATCACATAAGGAACGAAAGTTGAAGACACTGACACAGGCAATTTAGGTGCCTTATTTTTTCTTTTTCATTTAATATGTTTTCAATGATAATTATAAAAATGTTATATTCTTTTTATTTTATTTTTTATTTTCAACCACCACAAAAACCCTAAACCTACACACTTTTAGTTACTACTATCATTTTGGGACTTCCCCTCTTGCAGTAAACAGTTTGTCCCTACTGGGATAGCATAAGAAATAGGGGTTTTCTTAGTCATTTAGAAAAGACACGATAAACAATGCACTTATCATAGTCAAATACACCGAAAGTAGCTCGTCCCAATCCATCTATAATGGTCCCACTGCAACCGTACCTACAGAGTATCTTAGTCAAGAATTTTTTTTTCAACATTTTTTATTATCCATTAACAAATTTGTGTAAATTTCATTATTTATTCAATAAAATCTTCTCACAATTTTTATCATTAATTAATTTTATTAAAAATGGACAGTTTTTCAACATCAGAATTTTATACGATAATATATGCGAGATGACGAAAATACCCTGAAATAAACCACAAAATTACCTTCACTTCTTGATACAGCTTCTTCTCCCAAGCTAAGAGCCGTTCCAAAGTGGAGCAGAGACTCTTCGAACCGCCCGGTCCATTCAACGAACCGGCATCGAACCGGTACTTAACCACCAACGGCGGTTTAGAAGTCCAACTCGAGCTGAGGTTGCTCAGTATACTATTTGAGTGGTAAAGTGTTTCTGCATTTCAAACCCTTGCACTATTTATTTTAACATCACAAAAAATAATTAAAATTGGATTAAAAAAATAAATTTGAAAATTTTCCCGCACTTTCCGAGTAGCAAAGAACACGAAAACCTTACTCCTCAATTGCTTGAAACTCCGATCAAGGTGCGCTCTGTTAACCTCGAGCATCTCCGATAACTGGTCTCCGGCAACCGCAGCTTTCTCAAAGTTATCCCTAACCGCTTCAACAATCTCCTTCAAATCCCTATGCCTCACCGCCACATTCGCCTCCGTCGCATCATCACCTTTTTTTTCATCCTTCGCCGCCGGAGCACCGCCGCCGGCGACACTCTCCGCCCTCGCCGCTGAACCAAATCCGGTCACTCCTTCCTCCGGCTCCGACGAACTCGAGGAAGTGTAACGGTCCTCCCACTCGCTGCACTCAACCTCCTCGCGCTCCGGCTGAACCGGTTCATGTAAGTATTCGTATTCCGATTCCGTAACCTCTTCTCTTTGTTGCGAATCAACGTTTGCGTTTTCGGTTTTGAGATTACGTTGAGGCCTCGAGTGGAACATGTTGTAGGTAGATTCGGATTCGGATTCTGATGTTTCGAAATTAGGTGTTTTCGATTTGTGATTTTGTTTTTGTTGACGGAAGTAATCGGAGCCTGGAGGAGACGGAGGAGGATGGAAATTCTCCCAATTCCAAACCGAAGAGGCTTGCGAAGTAGGCGTGGCTTGAGCTTGTTGCGCGGTGGCGAAGAAATTCGAGTACTCGCTCCGCGGCGAGGAGCAGAGGCTCGATTCGGAGAGTATGTGAGGGAGCTTCGGCGGCGGCTTGCGGTGGCGCGTGGCGGCGAGAGGAAGAGGATGCGGTGGTTGTTGTGCGGTTCCAAAGAAATTCGAGTATTGGCTTCGCGGCGAGGAGCAAAGGCTTGAATCGGAGAGTATGTGAGGGAGCTTCGGCGGCGGTTTGCGGCGGTTCGCGGTGGCGGAGGTTACGATGCGAGGGAGTTTGGGGCTTGTGACGTCGGCGGAAGGAGGAGGAGGTTGAGGATGAGGATGAGGATGTGGCGGTGGTGTGCGGAGGAGGACGGCGGGGGTCTCGTCGGCGACGGCGAGGGGCTCGCCGGCGGCGAAAGTGTAGAGTGCGGAGCCGGTGAGGCGGAGGCAGTGGCAGTAGTCGGAGTGCGCCGCCGCGAGGTGGTGGCGCGCGAAGACGGCGTCTTTGATTAGACGACGGCGGTCCTTGCAGCGCTTCACAGTTTCCTCGTTGTCCAGTTTGGACGCCGTGCAACCCATTTTTGGCGCGTATACCGTATACTATACTCGTATAGTTACGTGTGTATACATAAAAATTATTAATATTATATAAAATATGAAACGTGTGGGTGTGTGTGTGTTGTTTTGTGAGGTGGTGAAGGGTGGTGGCGGGTTTAGTGGCGGCGTGTTCCGAAGGGGTTTTGGAGTGAAAGAATGAGCAGTGGGAGGTGCAATTGTTTTGAAGTGGCGGTGATGTCCATTTCTTTATTTCTTGTTTTTCTAGTTTCTTCCTTTCGTTTTTCGTTCTCGGTGTGTGATAGCTGTGTCTGCTTTGTTTTTGTTTGTATCTAAAGGGATTTTATCAAAGACTAAGAATACTTTTTTCTGTTGCTTTGTGGGGTTTTGGTCTTGTTAAAGTCAACAGGGAGTGGTTCCATTTGGTGATGTGTTCCTTCGTGTGATGTGATCATTGATCATTTTTTTTTCTTTTATTCTTCAAAAATAATTGAGTTAAATTAAAATTTTGACTTCTCAATTTTTTAATTTGATTAAATATGAAGTGAAGTTTGCATAATTGTATATTTTTAATAAATTTTCACTGATAAGTTAAAATAAAATTGAAAGAATGTATTAAATAATATACTAACATTTTTCTATTTTTTGTTTTTTTTATTTTCCTTAATTTCTTATCTCTTGTTAGGGGTAGGCAATGATTGTGTTTGGTTGGGTTCGGGTGAAAAATGTTCAACCCATTGTAAACTGACTTTGGAAAAATATGACCCATACCCGACCGACTAAGCTTTCGATTTGAGACTGTTCGGGTTAAAACAGATTCAAATTTGAGCGGGTGAGTATAATTGGGTTAAAAGTTTTTTGTATACCAAGTTATCTTAACGAAGTTGTAGCTTAAAACGGTAAAAAAAATATTTTTAAAGTAGTGTACAAAAGTAGAATGAAGGTGATAATAGATGGTGCAAGTAAATTCGTAGATGAAACATTCACAAACTAAAGAAGTAAAAACAAAAGATAACAAAATCCATAGTTGTTACATGTAAAAGAAATATAAAGTTAGATTACAAAACTCATAAGAAATCACGGCTACACAAGTTATACTCAAAATGAAGATAGGAAGATGGAAAAGAAAGACAAAGAAAAACAAAATGAAAACTCTAAAATTGGACTAGTGTGTTGAGAAGTTGAATGAGGAAGGAGAAGGCAGAAGAAACATTTAGATTATGAGAAACAGGAAAAAAAATAAGTTACAAATTGATGACTATATTATACTTGAAATAAATACTTTTGAGTTTGGACCATTGTTGTTTAGTTATACAAAAATAATAAAAATCTAAATATATCTCATTTTCGGTTGGATTCGGTTTTTAGCGGATTTAATAATTCAAAACCGAACCCGCCCAGTATAACCCATATAAAATCAAAATTTTAACTCAATTTACCTATAAAACTCATCCGAACCTATTCAAAAATAATATTTTTTTATCAAATTTTTCAGGTTCGGTTCATGTGTCAGTTTTATACTAACCGAGACTCTTGTCTTTTCATTTGCTTGGCATATACATTTAGTAAATATATAACGAGTATTTTTCTATTGAGCAAGGGTGCCTTTTGTTTTGCTATGGGGAATGACTCTCATATGGGTCATCTCATATATATGGCATTGGATGAGAGTGTTTGACTTGATAATTAGGATCAGATATGAGAAGTATTATATATGTTATTGGAGGAGAGTATTTAACTTGAAAATTAGGATTAGATAAGAGAGATACGGTGGAGAATCTAAGCACTATGTATATTGTAAGCATCAACTTGTTCTTTTAATTGTGCTTTATGAAGGGCTATAGCGAAAGAATATGCACTTTTTTTTTGTTTACAATATTATTTTAAACCTTTTTTTGTCTGCTTTATTGGATTGAAAGATTTTGCTTTATTTAACTACTTGCTTTATAGTATTTTTTTCCAACACCAAAAATTTAAACAATCACATCGTTGGATTTTGGTCCTTTTACCATCAAATTGGAAAAGCCATTATCGTTTGATAATGATTTTTTTATCATTTTTTTAACTTTAGGCCACAGTAAAAAATAATTGTTTTACTTTAGAATTCATGTAACTTTTTTTTTTTATAAAAAAAATCCTATATTTTATTTTTGTATTTTTATTTTTAAAACTTTTGTTATAACGTCAAGAAGGGTCCACATATTTTAATAAAAACTCATTAAATCCCTAATTTGAACTAAAAGATCCATCTCTAATCATAAGGAAAAGCAAATATATATAAAGGTCTCATACTCAAAGCATCGGTCACCAAATTGTCTTTACCTAGATAACAACTAAGATTAAAATCCTACTCCTTAAGAAATTTCAACTATCTCCCTTGATCAAAAGATATTTAAGGCTCTAACAATCACTAAATACTTCAAGCTTAGAATCACGTAGGTAGTGTCTTCAAATTTTAGTGTAGATATCATAACCGCTAACTCAAGGTCATGGGTAAGGTAATTCCTCTCATGATTTCTCAATTTCCTAGAAGCATAAGCTACTACCGTTTCTTCTTGCATCAACACTCTGCCCAAACCTATCTTAGAAGCACTACTATATACCATAAAAGACTTACTAAAATCCAGTAATATTAGCACTAGCCAACCTTTCCCTAAGAGTTTGGAAGCTACTCTCATACTTTCCATCCCACACAAAGGCAACTCCTTTTCCTCGTCAATCTAGTCTAAGGTAATGTTATCTTAGGAATTTCCTCAATAACTCTCCTATAATAATAAGCTTATCTAAGAAAAATCTTGACCGTACTAATTGACTTTGGTATCTCCCACTTAAGTACAACTTCTACCTTAGATAGATCTATATTATAGCTCCACTAAAATTATAGGACCTAGAAAACTCGTCTTATACAATCAAAAATCATACTTAGATAACAGCCTAAAGTTGTCTTGGATAAATCCTCACTCTCAACTCCAATCTGATGATATCACACCTTGAGGTCAACCTTACTAAACACACAAATATCCACTAATTAATCCACTAATTAATCCTCATATCAACATACACACATAACAAATCATATTAAAATACCTACTTCAAACATTCGATATATATCATCCCTAATCATGTACAAATCAAACACCATTTACTCCATATAGCATGTACATGAACCAACTTTACCACATATCATCATACAACCTTAAACAACCTCTCAATCCACATGAAAACATCTCAGAACATCATGACAAAAATCAATTTTTATCTTTGCATTGCCTAACGACTCAAAAATATCATGACACCAAACATATCCCTTCAACAATTGTCAAAGAAAATGATACCTAGGGAGTTATACTCATCCAAATGATCTCAAACCTATCTAAAAATAAAGCTAAGAGAATAAGCTACAACTCCTATGAAGAAATGAGATTCTAAAAAGATCATCTTCTTAGCTAAAAATTCAAAAACCACCATAGATATATTCAGCACTTACACCTTGACCTTTGATCACTAAAGTAGCTATAACTGGAGTTCTAGACCTTCTTTTTACCTGATTCTAGTTCCATTGGAAAGATAACGTCCAAGGCTACAACTTTTATCAAGACCATAAAATCTAAATCTCTCAATACGGTACTCATACTGGCACAACAAAACTACAGCGAAAATATCTTCTACACCTGACAGCAATAGTGTATCAATATATCTAAGGCCACAAAAAATACCTCAATCCTTTCAAACTCACACCTCAACTTCATATTCAAGCTTCCCACTACAATCCTAAACCAAAACAACTCACATATTTAGCACAACAAACTTAGAAAATAAAACTCACATGCTACCTAAACCAAAAAAGGTTAAAAAGCACCAACACTCGAGGGAAATACCAACATTTCAATCTCTCATCAAGAATATCAAAACTTCCAATTCTCAAGATACAACCTCCTTGAATTCAATCGCTAAAACTATAAATTCCAGAAACTCCATCAACCATAAACTCTCAATACACTCGACAAATCAATGTCTCACCCAAATCTAAGGTTTCAATAATTTCTAGTTGATTGGCACAATATCTCGTCTACAACTACTCGCACATATGCTTGCAACACAAGCGATATCACTCATCCACTACTTCTTACGTAAGCACGAAGTATCAAACAATTAAGCACTCATAAGAATGAAGAAGAGCAGTCATAATGTTATTAACTAACACTATCATGTACATCATTCATCTAATTACAATATAATCTAACAGTATCAAACTCAACAATATCAACATAAGGAGAACATCATTATCATCATCATCAAAGCAAAGCATCATCAAAGTACACAACAAACAAAACACTGTCAGAGTACACAACAGAATCATGATAAGTACATAACTCACGGCGGATTGGATCAACCTGGCTCTGATACCACTTAATGTGACACCCTCTACCCCAACATACATATATAGTAATTATTAAAAAAATAAAATTTTTCATAATTAAAAACCAAATTTCCAACCACTCATGTGGATTGAGAGGTTGTTTAAGGTTGTATGATGATATGTGGTAAAGTTGGTTCATGTACATGCTATATGGAGTAAATGGTGTTTGATTTGTACATGATTAGGGATGATATATATCGAATGTTTGAAGTAGGTATTTTAATATGATTTGTTATGTGTGTATGTTGATATGAGGATTAATTAGTGGATTAATTAGTGGATATTTGTGTGTTTAGTAAGGTTGACCTCAAGGTGTGATATCATCAGATTGGAGTTGAGAGTGAGGATTTATCCAAGACAACTTTAGGCTGTTATCTAAGTATGATTTTTGATTGTATAAGACGAGTTTTCTAGGTCCTATAATTTTAGTGGAGCTATAATATAGATCTATCTAAGGTAGAAGTTGTACTTAAGTGGGAGATACCAAAGTCAATTAGTACGGTCAAGATTTTTCTTAGATAAGCTTATTATTATAGGAGAGTTATTGAGGAAATTCCTAAGATAACATTACCTTAGACTAGATTGACGAGGAAAAGGAGTTGCCTTTGTGTGGGATGGAAAGTATGAGAGTAGCTTCCAAACTCTTAGGGAAAGGTTGGCTAGTGCTAATATTACTGGATTTTAGTAAGTCTTTTATGGTATATAGTAGTGCTTCTAAGATAGGTTTGGGCAGAGTGTTGATGCAAGAAGAAACGGTAGTAGCTTATGCTTCTAGGAAATTGAGAAATCATGAGAGGACTCTAGCGCTTAGTGTAGGCACGTCCACACTTTGTGCCATAATTCCTTATGTTCTATATGACTCTCATGCTTAGTGAGACTCTGACCTTGCTTAGTTTCAAAATAACAAAGGCAAACCATATGCCTTTAGGAGTCTTGCGCTTGGTGATGGTAACCCTACACTTAATGTGAGCTCATAAAACCAAAATTTGGGGTTTTACGAAAA